CATTTGTGGTCTTTCTTAGTCATTTTCAAACCATCTCTTCACTCCTTGGGTCTTCTATTCAAGCCATACCACATGCTTTTTTAATCATGTCTGTATATAATATTTTTTTTCTTTGAAACTGACCTTCTGACTGACACCTGTCAGACTTTTCCATGATGCCTGGTGACCTTGGGTGGGAAGTTCTCAATTCTACAGCCTCCTCCGCCCCCCACCAGCTCTACTGCTTACAACATGTTGAGTGTCTGGAGCTACACTTCAGCTAGGAAAAACACTGAAATGTCAGCTGTTTGTGGAGAAAATTTCAAAAGGCCGCCACAGCGGTGCAAGCCCCAGTTATAACAGTCCCGAGTTATATAGGGAGGGAGAAAGGGGGAGGATTGGGGGAGGATCTGGGGGAGGAATGTTTAATTTGCTCTGCCCTCTGGCCTTCATTAGTATGTAAATCTCTAGGGCCTGAGGCCTATAGCCTGGCCTATGTGACTCTATGGAGATCTATGTGACTGCTTTTCAGGATCTTGGATGATGGGAGGGACCGAACTCCTGCCGGTTCTCACGCAGAATTCCACGGAGAATCTCGGGGTTCTAGGTACCTGCTCAATCATGACCCAGGATACCCTTATGCAGTCCCACAGCTGTTGGCCACAATGTCTACTTCAAGAGCCCTTGTTCTTTCTAATCATAATGGCTACAGCCCACATCAGCACTAGAAAAGCCTCAGTGACATCCAAGTTACTAATTTCCAATAGATGTTAGATGATTGTGGTGATTTGAATATGCTTGGCCCAGGGAGTGGCACTATTAGCCACTTGTATTGCTGAGTTGTATGAGTTCCACTTGTATAGCTACAGCCTTGTTGGAGGAAGTATGTCACTGTGGGGGTGAGCTTTGAGACCCTCTTCCTAGGCAAATGGGAGTCAGTCTTCTCCTGTTTGCCTTCAGGAAAAGATATAGAACTGTCAGCCCCTCCACTACCATGCCTGCCTGTATGCTGCCATGCTTCCCCCCATGATGATAGTGGACTGAACCTCTGAACCTGTAAGCCAGCCCCAATTAAATGTTGTCCTTTATAAGAGTTTCCTTGGTCATGGTATCTCTTTACAGCAATGGAAACCCTAACTAAAACAATGGTGATAGTGTCAGGGACACAATGAAAACAGCAGCAGTTTGGAGGAGAAAAGGGAGAGTTTAGATTTGAGGCAGCAATGTTTTTGAGACATCCAAATGGAGAGACAGTTTTAAAAAGCAATTAGAAATGTAGATCTGGAATAATGGAAAGAACTGTATGAGTACTGAAGAAATAGACTGGAAAATACTATATACACTCAATCTACATTATTTGCAAAGTATATATATGAAAATTGCATACTTGTTCCAACTAGCTGCATACTGTTGTTGCTTACCCCCAACCACAGACATGCACTGGGAAGCAAGCATTTGAGCCACTGGATCAGCTTATTTCTAAGGGAGATCAAACAAGGTGAAACTATGCCTTTGTCAGCTCTTACACTGTAAAGAAGGAACCCTTTTGTCAGTCTACTTAATGTTACATCCTTCATATTCTGTGCTTCTCCTTTTGGGTCTATTTAAAACTGCCTGCTAGTGCAGTGCTGACATGTTGTCTAGGGAGCCTAAGTGGATGTGCGTTGAGAAGAATACGTTAAGCAAACTTCCTTCAAGAAGGAATTGCAGCCCTGGGACTGTGAGTTCAATGTTAATGAAGCCATAGTATATATCACATAAAGTATCTTTATACAGAAACAGACATAGAACAAGACTATGCACCAATCACCTGGTAAACATAAATAGAGGCTTCAAGGACATGACCTTGTATCTCAACAGCAATAATTCAGTCTTCAGTTACTTAGTATTCCTGGCAAGTCCCTGAAACACAACTGTAGACAATGAGAAGCAGTTGTATATACATGATAGGTATAAGATGACACTGAACAGTGAAGCTGCATACAGCCAGAGAATAAACTGCTAAAGCAGAACACAAGGGATCATCATTAATTAAGGGCTGGATGTTATTGAGGGATGGCAAAAAAAAAATAAGTACAAAAGGTAGCGAGGGGTTAAGAAAAGTATGATCTTTTGAGTATAATGCACCTGGATTTAAAACTTAGCTCTGGTGCTTATTAGCTGGGTGATCCAAGAAATTTCATCTTATTTCTCTGCCCCCCCCCCACTTACTTCTAAACTATGAAGACAATACCTAAGCCAGATGATATTTTAGAGGGCATAAATGGTATATGCAAGCCATGAAAATGACCAGCTGTAAACACCCTCTATTCTGTCAAGTGTTTTAGAACTAAGATAAAAATGTTTCAACGGACAAAACAACACATGAAAGCCAGTTCTGAGCCTCACCTCAGTGATGTTCAGCACAAGTACAATTACACAAATATGAATTTTATGTAAGTTATGAGGTTAGAGTTGTCTGTGCCTGATGAGGCTCTGCATTGATTCATCTTACCATCTGCATTGATTCATGACTTACCAAGAGTGGAAACGTCTCTATGAAGACAGGCAGTCTCAGTCCTGGCTATGGATCTCCACTATTTCTATTCATGGGTTCCCTCATACAGACCAGAAAAAATACATTCCTTTAGTGAGGGGAAGTTGGCCTAGCCTAGCTGCCTTGAAAGGCATGTGTCATTGGTTTTTTTCAGATAAGAATCCATGGCTCCAGGAACACAAAGTGCCTTCCAGTTGTTGAGAGACTGATACATTCCCTCAGGCAGTAAAACATTCTGGCTGCTTTATGTTTCTCTGTATGTTCTCTCAGACATCAAGGAAGCATGGAAGCTCAACAGGATGACTGGTCTTAGACATTAACCTTGTATACCTATAGAGCTTGCAAAGGTCGTTGTATCCTGGCAACCACAACTGGATTGATCTTGACAACTGCCATTCTAGTCTATTTCTGGTAAAGGTATAAAAGTCTGATTGCTCTCAATAAAACTGTCACAGTCTCAGTCTTGCTGTGGCTCCTCCAACTGGACTGATTTTTATTACTCAAGGCCACTTCTGATGACCTTGGCCCAGTAAGTAAGCATGGCTGCTTACACTTTAGAATCTAACTTAAGCCTACGTCTCTAGCCTAGGTCTCTTTCTGACCACCTCATAATTGCTTCTAAACAAATCATTTCTAAACAACCATATAGTATTTTGCTGACATGAGTAAGATATTTCCATTATCTGTCTTAGAACATATCTGTGACTTTTTACTTGTGACGTTTTACTTCCTGGCCCAACAACTGTGGAAAGTACTTCTCCTTCAAGGCTCAGCACTGAAAGGTATTGGCTCTCTGGGAGCATTACTTGTCAAAAAAGTGATGGGAATTTTTAAGGCAGACTGTGTATCACGACAGCAATGCAAGGTTTGGTAACTTGTAGTTTCTAGTTTAATTATCATTTGCCTTGCTCAAGTACAGCATTGCCTACTCAGTAATACAAGTGGAATACTCTAAATTGAGGAGAGGCTCTGAGTCTCAAGCTGGGCCTGAGAATGAAACTGAGCTAAAATGCATTCATAGGAGAAAAGTGCACAACTTTTATTTTTTTAAAAAAATCACGTGGCCGGGCTGTGGTAGCACACGCCTTTAATCCCAGCACTTGGGAGGCAGAGGCAGGCGGATTTCTGAGTTCGAGGTCAGCCTGGTCTACAGAGTGAGTTCCAGGACAGCCAGGACTACACAGAGAAACCCTGTCTCGGGGAAAAAAAAAAAAATCATGTGATTAGTGTCTTCAAAGGAACCTGGAAGCCTATGTGGCTATACCTACATGCCAGTGGCAATCAAGAAAAGTAGCTAAGATGTGGGTTTAATTCTAAAAGACCTGTTACAGACCTCTCAGTTTCATCTTCTCTAGCTCATAAAAAAAAAATTTGTATTGGATATTTTATTTATTTACATTTCAAATGTTATCCCTTTCCTGATTTCCCCTTTGGAAACTCCCTAGCTCATCCCCCTGCCCCCTGCTTCTATGAGGGTGCTCCCTCACCCACCTCCCTGCCCTAGCATTCCCTTACACTTGGGCATCCAGCCTTCACAGGGCCAAGAGCTTCCCCTCTCAATGATGCCAGACAAGGCGGTCCTCTGCTACATATTCAGCTGGAGCCATGGGTCCCTCCATGTGTATTCTGGTTGGTGGTTTAGTCCCTGGGAACTCTGGGGTGTCTGGTTGGTTGATATTGTTGTTCTTCCTATGGGGTTGAAAAACCCTTCAGCTCCTTCAGTCCTTTCTCTAACTCCTCCATTTTTAAGTGCTTGGAACTCATAGAACAGCTAAGGCAGCAGTAGGCTGTAGGCTCCTGCCTAGCATGGTGCGCACAGCAGACACCATTCACATACAGGACTCTACAAAGCTTATTTACAAATTGTACACTGCTACCTGTTTATGTCTTTCTTTCCCTCACTAGCTTACAAATTTCATAAAGGCCAAGACTTCTTTTTTTCTTGGGAGGCAATTCTTGGAGGTGTAAGTGTCTGGGATTTAAGACAAGAGTTAAGTCAATCTCAGAGGAAAAGAAGATGGCTTAAGAGTCGCCATTCTCATTGCCAAAAGCTTTACCGTGTTTCCTATCCTCAGTAAGGATCCACTCAGAACGACTAATTTACCATCCAATCCTGGATAAGGGAAAATGAGAGATAAGGGAAAATGAAAAGTGAAGTTGCAACGTTCATCCCTTAAGATATTGCTCTGTTAAATTAAATCAACTTGGAAGACAACGCTGCGCTCTAGGGCAACCTACAGCATCCCCCAGCGAGTGGCACGGTGACTGCACAGACAGACAGATCTCAAAAGGGGAAAAACCGGCGAGCCCTGCGGGCCGGAACCCTACAGTGAGAGCGAACAGGCTGGTAGGGAAGGAGCAGGAGGAATCTTGCAAACACAGCACGGCTTCGCCCCCTCCCGAAGAGGGTGGGAGTCACCGAGTGGCTCCGCCCCTCCCGCAGTCGCTAAGCAACCAGCCCCGGAAGTCGCGGGTCCGGGGCGAGCGCCCAGAGCGGGTGGAAGATGGCGGAGGGTGGACGAGCGGAGCCGGAGGAACAGAAGCGGGGGTCCTCGAGGCCACGGCCCCCGAGTGCGCGGGATTTACAGGTGCGGAGGCACGGAGCGCAGCGGCAGGCGGGAGGGCGTGGGCTTGGTGGGCGCGGGCCAGAGCCGCTTGTACCTCGCCTGAGCCTTGCCCTGACCCTGTCTTTAGAGAACTAGAGGGTCTCTCCCGGAGGCGCATTGCGGGGCGGCGTGTGGGAACCAGTTCCCCAGCCTTAGGCAGCGATACAGGGTTTCCCTTCATGCAGGATGCACAAAGCAAAATGTCATTTTGCGGAGCCATCTGGGTGACTCCCAGTTGTTGCTGCCTGCGTCTGGAGAGTTACTGTGGCCGGTGATAAATCATCCATCACTTAAAAAGTAACTTTAAAATAACGAATGCTGGTTTGTTCTCTTGGATGCATTTTCTCATTTGATGACTTATACATTCAAAGAACTTATTTATCAAAAAGCTTGCGTTTTTGCAAGATAGAGCTTAAAACGGTTCAGGCTTTGGTAACAGCCCACTCGTAAGAGGTAGTCCACAAAACAACAGAAATAAAACTCAACAATGTTATGATGCTGACATTAGTCAGCCGAACACTGTTCACCGAATGGTTTATCAGATGCTAATACTATTTACTCATTTTAGCCCTTTTTCTATCTCCTCATGAAATCATTGATAAGATTCAACAATTAAACGTATATTCGAGATTATAATTCAGAATAAATGAGCCTGAATTCACAAACCTTGACAGAGCATTTTTAGTAGCTGGTCTTCATTCTTTAACCAGATGTACTGACCACTTGCCATTATAACTTTGTGCTGAAGCTTTGGGGAATTTGGATATAAATAGGACATCAAATCCTTAAGTAGTAGTGGATACTGTTGTATGCTATTAAATTTTGTGAAAGGTCACAGATTTGAAACAGACTTGTAAAGTAGCCTTACAGACCAAACAAATGCAAAGTTATTATGTTAATTGAGCACTGGTCGGTTCCAGGTGACCCTGAAGCCAGTTAGCTAGTTGTCTTAGCGTTACTATCACTGTGATGTAACACCATGACCAAAGCAACTTGGGGAAGAAAGACTCATGCTTCCACATCACAAGTTCATCATCAAACAGGAAGTCAGGCCAGGAACCTGGAGGCAGGAGCTGATGCAGAGGCCATGGAGGGGTGCTACTTACTGGTTTGTTCCTCATGACTTCTAAAGCCTGCTTTCTTATAGAACCCAGGTCTCAGAGCTCAGGTATGGCACCACCCATAATGGGTGTGGCCCTCCACCACCTATCACTAATTAAAGAAATGCTCCAAAGGCTTGCCTACAGCCTCATGAAGGCATTTTTTTTTTCAGTTGACCCCCCTACCCCTTTTGTCAAGGTATGTAAAGCTAGCCAGCAAACTAGGGAGGCAGTACCCATCTGATTGGTTGACCAAACTGCTGTTGATAAAATATTTTCTGTATCTGGCTTGCTAGTTTCCATAAAGTCACATCTTGTTGCCTGTTTGAGTTTTCCCAACCTGCTCTGGTCCTGGGGGCTGCCGCATTCAGGAATTCTTTTTTTTTTTTTAATATGAGTAATCTAGGTTTAATTGACCTACCCAGTCTCTATTTTAACCACGTATAACTTTTTGGAAAACTAAGCACAGTTTCAAGCTGAAGCGGCACTGAATGCCAAAAATGGCAGTTCAGAAGATGAACTTGGAGAATGCAGAGATCAGCATCAGGTGGGAGCTAAACACCCGATAGTGAATTACCAGCTGAACAGAACATCTCAGCTGCCATGCAGAACAGTCTGTCAGCTTCTAAATCAGGAAGGAGTGTTTCAGGAGCCACCAGAAGAGGGCTATAGAGTTACCTCCTAAAGTGTCTCTATGTTGTGACTTCTGGACTATTTCTAAGGCTGTTGTTTAGTGTCCTTCAGGCAATCCATCATAGGGTTTAAAGTTGTTTAAGGTATTTAATTGCATGCTTCCCAGTGTTCCTCCAGAATATCAACAGGATTGCTGTTCTTAGTTCTGGGCTTCCATCCAGATTAGCGTTTGGGGAGGAATAAACTTGTCTGAAGCCATTGTACCTAATAGCAGTGTCTCTAAATAGTTGCCATTGTACCTGGTCCTGTTGACCGTCATTCTCCCAGGACACTGATTCTCAGTGAAATAATGTCCCTGGAAAGGCTTGTTAAAGCAGACACTAGCCTTCACACCAGCATCTAATCCACTAGGTATAGAGTGGGGCTTGAGCATTCTGTAATCCCCAAAGTTCCCGGGTGTGGCTAGTCTATACAGTTAACTTCACATACATACATACATACAGTGGGTTCCTCATAGCTTTGTGGATCAAGAAACTGAGTGGGGAAAGCTGAAACATAGCTGCTTTTGCCTTTTTATTCAGCCCAAGCCCTAGCCCACAATGCTCAGGGTAGGGGTTTTCTCTTTAGAAATAATGCCCAAAACACACCCAAGGGTGTATCTCCAAGGAGGTTCCTAGTCCAGTTGACACTGACGACTACCCATCACAATTTGTACCTAAAGTAAACGTCATTAGGAGGATAACGTATGGTATATGGATTTAGAAAAGGATATTTAAGAAAACACGAAGCCATATTTACATAGGTCACCTAAAACAGGTGTTTAGAATACAGATAATGTTGTATGAGATACATCGAGCATATAAGTCATTCATAAATCTGAAATAATACAATTGGCTCAAGAGGAAAGCCATCAAAGAAGCCTTTTAAGAGCCTTCTGGAGGGTAAGATGGACACTTACTGTAGTCACAATCCCTCCCCTAGCCTGCCTTTGGTTTTGTTTGGGGTTTTGGAGGGTAGGAGTTGCAAAGCATGACAGGGAGACACATAGAAAGTGAAAACAGGGACACAGACACAGCAGTATCACAGTTTAAAATAAGACAGTTTAAAATGGGACAGACGGGGCTTGGGTTCTGCATACAGTAATCTTTCAGCTGATTGTCAGAAGAATTTTAATAGGCATTTAAAGAAGAATCAGTGCTCAAGGATGTTCAGTAATCCACCAGATGTTACACAGTGTGTGCCTGAGTCAAGATTTGGATCTAGTTGAGAGAGAACAACATGTGTGAACTTGGAGAGGGGACTGGAGGGAGGAAAATGAAGAGAAAAATTATAGAATTATATTTCAATTTCAAAAACTTACAGCCCTGTAAAATTTTTGAGTTCAGGTCTTAAGAGGTCAGAGCTATTGCTTTGCATTTCTAGGAAATAGCTTCTTTAGAAATTCACAAGTTAGCCGGGCAGTGGTGGCACAGGCCTTTAATCCCAGCACTTGGGAGGCAGAGGCAGGTGGATTTCTGACTTCGAGGCCAGCTTGGTCTACAGAGTAAGTTCCAGGACAGCCAGGGCTACACAGAGAAACCCTGTCTCCAAAAACCAGAAAAAGAGAAAGAAATTTACAAGTTGATGCGTCTGTGAGAGGGAGGAAGAAATAGGAATAAAAGCAATTAGGAGAGGGAAAATTGTCTTCTACGTGTCTTGGGGTGTACTTTAAATGTGTTTATCTAAAGGCCTTGGAATCTTCAAAGGCCCAGGACTTAGCTAGGTGTCAGAGTGATTGTCGAACATGAATGAGGACTGCTTGGGTTCAGTGCCTAACCTTGGAGTGGGAGCCCAAAGATTACAATCATACCAACTGAATACTGACTAGCAGCTTTAAGGAAGCTTGTTTTGTTGTTTGTTTTTTGAAACAGGGTGTCTCTTACACAGGCTCGATTGTCCAAAAACTCACTTTGTAGACTAGTCTGACCTCAAATTTACAGAGATCCTCCTGCTTCTCTTTCTCAAGTGTTAGTATTGAAGGTATTTACTACTGTGCCTGGCTGAAAAATTTTAAGTTATTGCCAAAAATAGCAAAAGATGAAGGGGAAAAAAAACCTGTAATAACTGATAATTCAATTACTATTTAAAATTATATTTCAAGGACAAATGTATTTTTACTTTATTCAGAAGATATCCAGCTATATATCTACAATATCTTAATTTTGCAGTATTACTTTATAAATATCTAAAACCTATATTTAATTCCTTGTCTTATTTTTTAGAATCTCCTTTCCCTAAACTTGATGAAATTTGTGTTGTATAGACCTTTAAGGAATACTTTTGAACTCGTTTTATGTACTTAGGTTTTGAAAACAACTAAGTGAAACTATATTGTGAGATTGAATTAAACAAATTGGCAATAGCTTGAACGGTCTTCAAAAATTCTTTTAAACCTGGAAGAAAGTTACACAGGTCCACAGCAAAAATAGTTCAAACTCAGTTTTTGAAATTGTTGAATAGTTAATTAAAAGAATTATTATAGCCAGGTGGTGGTGGCGCACGCCTTTAATCCCAGCACTTGGGAGGCAGAGGCAGGCGGATTTCTGAGTTCGAGGCCAGCCTGGTCTACAGAGTGAGTTCCAGGACAGCCGGAGCTACACAGAGAAACCCTGTCTCGAAAAACCAAATATTGTAACATTTTTTTCTGACATAGGCAGTTTATTTAGTTGAATAGTCTTTGAGACCTGGTGAGTTAGCCTTGGAAAGACATCTTTTGAGGCAACAACTTTCATTTTCTCATAGGAAATTGCTATTGCTTTCAAACCAATATCTGATCCTCAGATATCTGTCTAGAAGTCTGATTCCAGGGTCAACTGTATAACAAGCCTGTTGTTATGTGTAGTTGGCCTTGGCAGAACTATGTGAAGATGAAATGAAATGCAAGTCTTCCAAGCCTGACAGATCTACAGCTACAGCCTTTAAGAGCCCACGAACACCGCCACATCGGTGAGTATTTCTTCCAGACATCTACCCTGCTTAGCTCACTAAGCATAAACTATTTTAAGTGACCTCGGGACTTTTTAAATTAAAGTTTTTAAAATAGACACAGAAGTATTATTAAATTTTTTATAACCATTTAAAAGAAACTTCAGAACAATTACCTTAGTATATAATATTATCATAGGCACCATATGAAATTATATCTTGAATCCTGTTTTCTCAGGATTTAATAGTTTTGTCATAGCCCCATTGAGCTGTCGAGGCATGTTCAGGCCTCTCCTTCCAAAGCAGCATTCATATGCAATCTTATCAGTTGAAGGCCAACAGGTTCCTCACCACCCTTCTCGGGACCATGATAAGTCTTTGGTCCCCCATTAAAGAGTTCAAGTTTCTGTGTGTGATCTTGTTGGGTGACGCCTAGTGTAACACCGCTGGGATGTGTTTGTTGTCATTAAAACCTCTGAACTATAAAAAGAACGGATTAGAGATTTAAAAGATAAGAATCAAGTATATTGTATTGTGAGTATTTTTACTGATTTTTCTAGTATTAAGAATGCAAAGTTGAATTTTCTGATTATCATTCTGAAAAAATATTATGTTATCAGAAGTAGAAAAGTTCACTGAACATTAGGTTTATACCACTCCACATTTTTTTTGGTAGGGGAGACAAAAATAATACATCCTTCTGTACTTGTATAAAAATCTTTATAATTTCTCTCACACATTTTCTTTTACAATTTTTAAAGCCCATAGAAAATGTAAAGACCAGTAAAAGGAGTGAACACTAACCATTTCCTTCTGTTCCTCAGTTGTTAACCTGTCAGAGCATAGCATGCACTCTCACATGCTCACTTTCTGTTTTAGTCAGCTGAAGGCACATTATAGCACTGTGACACTCTCTTCCAGAAGTACACATCCCGAAGAATAAAGTATATAACCTAAACTGTAAAAGTATAGGTTAACAATCAACAGTGGTGCCATGATGTCATTTAACATATAGCCTGTAGTCAGCCGTTTCTTCCAGCTACCTTTGGGGATTTTGGGACACAGTTAGAGACTACTCGTTGCATCTGATTTTTTCCTGTGTTGAGTTTTAATGCAGGGCAGCCTTTCTTTTTATCTGGTTTTAGCTCACCTACATAATCTAAAATGTATTACATTCACTTTTTAAAAGTATGCACCAGATGTCTCAAAACGTCCCACATTCTAGAGCACTGTTTCCTCATAATTAGATTCTTGTTAAACATTTTTGTCAAGAGTACTAGATAAGTGATACTGTCTGCTTTTTATTATATCACATCAGGAGCCATATAATTTCAAGTTTTTCCACTATTGGTGATATGCTCACTTGATTAAGTGCTGACCACCACATCACTCCATTGTCAGGTACAGTTTGTCTTTGTAATCAGCAGGTTGGTATCTCGGCATGGTTTGAATATACTATCCTTTGATTTAATTCTTACTTGTGAGATAACTGAATATATCTAGATATGTATGTTAACTGACTCCTTAATGTATATATTCCCCTATGTTTTGGGTTTGTTTTGTTTTTTTTTGTTACCCTATGTTTTTTAGTATTTAATGTGTTACTATACCTATGTTTACTCATTCAGTATTGCGGTATTTAACTTTTGGCCCCTTGGTTAGAGCACATGCAGAATGACTTAATATTGCTCTTAGTGCAGTAAATCTAATATTTGAATTCTTATAAGATTGATGTGTAAATATTTTCCTTGTTTTTCACATGTTAACTCTATGATCCTGAGTTCAAGGTTTCCCTAAGCTGCCAAGCAAATTCAAGCCAGTTTGAACTGCCCCAAAATACTAGGGTCTGTGAGTGTGGCTCAGTGTCTATAGAGTTTTGCCTAGCATATGCAAGGTCCTGGGTTCAATCCCTAGAACTCTTTCTTCAGATGAACATACTTATGCAGCCTGAAAGTTTTTGTTGTTAATAGTTTTAATTTCATAATGCTTTGTTTGGGGATGTGATAGTTTAGTATCCCACACATATTAGCCATATACTTCTACTGCTGAACTATACCTTTCAAACCAGAGATGTAGCTGTTAAAGACATTTTGCCTCAAGCTTGACCTCTTGAATTATTTACTACACAATGGATGAGTTGAATCACTGAAGGTAGAGTGTTTGAAGACCATTGGCAGTCCTTTGTAAGCTTGACACTGTTTTCCATTCACTAGAGCAATTCACACTCTTTACTCTATCCTCAGTAAGAACACTTACCCTGCTGTGTTTGACTTGTACTTTGTACAAGTGTCTTTGTCATGTCCTCCTAGGACAGCATTAGAGACCAAAACAGTTATATGTTGCTTCTCATTGTGTTCTTGTGGTTTTCAAGGTATGATTTTATAGCCTAGGTAGGCCTAGAACTCACTGTCACTCAAGCTACCCTCAAACGGTCAATCCTCCTGCCTTAGCTTCCCAAGTGTCAAGATTTCCAGAGTCTGCTAGCACCACCACACATGGCACACTGGCTTTTCAATCCAACTGCGCTGGTTGTTTTTCGTCAACTTGACACAAGCTAGAGTCCTGTCGGAAGAAGACTCTGATTTGAGAGATGCCTTCCATCTGAGTGGCCCGGGAGTGTCTGTAGGGCATTTTCTTGATTAATGAATTATGTGGGATGGTCCAGCTCTTGGAAAGTACCATCCCTGGGCAGGTGGTTCTAGTGTGTATAAGAAAGTATGTTGAGCAAACCGTAGAGAGCAAGCAAGCAGCATTTCGCCATGTCTCTGCTTCAGTTCCTTCCAGGTTCCTGGCATTACTCCCTCAGTAGTAGATAACCTGTATAATGTAATAAACCCTTTTCTCCCTGAGTTTGCTTTTGGTCATTGTTTCATATGCTAATAAAAGCTAAATAAAAGGCCCAGCATACTTTCATTATCTAAAATACTAGATATAATGGGGTCTATGTGTTTAACCTACAAGAAGAGGTGTGTAATCTGTAGAAATTTCAGGGCAATATGACAACTTCTTTAGCAAGTTCACTCATGAGAGGCAGTAGACCACAGCAAAACTTTTGACATGACCTCTAAATGTCATTATTTGGTTAGCCTTGTTTTGAGAATTCAATGAGATGGACTGTGTAATATGCCTCACTTGGGCCTTAAACAATTGCTACAATCTAAGCACCAAAAATCAGGGACACGGTCATAGAAGAAACTGTGAGGAAAGGCTAGGAGGGGACAGAAAGAGAAGCTGCAGACTGTTGCAGACTATGGCAAATCCGCCATGTTGGCTAAGTGGGGATGCAGACAGGAGGAGCCTCGAGGCAGTGTCACCCGTGTTGTCACACAGGTCTACACTTCTGAGGGCCTGTGATGGATTTAACGCTTGACTCCTTAGTGAATTTTGAGTGAAGGTATTTACATGTTTATTTTGCAGTTGGCCCCCATTATTATGTTGTATTAGTTTGGAAATACTTGTGTGCATTAAAGTTCATTCAGTGATGCAGAGCTATAGTGACAAGACCTGGCTCTAAAACTAAAGGCCTCTCAGCCCCCATATGTATATGTGGCGTGCATGCGTGCGTGGGTGCATGCGTGTTGGTGTATCTTTTTCAGTAACCTCCCATAGCCTCTGTTTTCTCATCTAAAATATGAGGATAGTTTAGTTATAAGAATTAAATAAAAAAAAAAGAATTAAATGAACATATATTTGCCCTTTGGTCATTTTAACTATTAACCCTTTTAGGAAGTAGAAAAAGTATATCATTTTAGAAAAATAAGTGTAAAATTACAGCAGTAGAAGAAAAGAAAAAGGCAATTCAAGAAGATGTCAGTTTCTAATCTTAGATTACAAAGGACAATAAAATCTTAGATTTGGTGATTACACTGGGATTAAAGAGAGAAGATGGAATTACTCTAGTACTTTTTAAAAATTAATTATAGAAACTTTATGACAAGCAATGCATGGCAAGAGCAGGAAAGACACAGCTTTGGGATCTGTGGTAGAACTGTGCTTGCTGATGAGAGGGATTCAGCATGGAACACGATTAACCTTGGAGTTAATGGACGTCACTCATGCAGAATTATTGAGCAGGTGCTTTGTTTTTGTTTTGTTTTATTTTGTTTTGTTTTTAAGATGTTTATAAACTTTTAAATGTCAATAAGTTAAAAGGATGAAACAGGCATGGTGGCACATGTCTCTACTTCTAACACTTGGAAGGTAAATGCAGAAAGTTTGGGAGCTGAAGGTCAGGGTCAGCTATGCATAGAGCTCAAAACCAGCCTCAAGTACTCATACCTGCCCCACGCAACTAGTCAAACAAAGTAAGAAACAGCTAAGCCTGATGCTGTATGCGTGTAACGCCAGTGACTGCATGACCAAGGCTAGACGATCAAAAGTTTGAAGTGTACTTGGGCTGCATGGTGAGCAAATGGATGGAAAGGGGTTGGGGGAAAGCATACCTTCAAGTTATGTTAGCAGGAGTTGCAATCTGAGAGGATGAATATTTTGTTGATCAAATGAGAGGAGAACAGAAGGCAAGGGCCTTGCCATCTTGTTATGGAAAAGGGAAGAAAGGAAGTGTAATAAAACCAAATCATGGCTGGAACCCACTGCACAGAGGAACAAACAGTTCTGCTCTTGGGAAAGTCAGAGAAGGACAAGTTCAGATGTGAAATGAGGGAAAGAAACTGGGAAATATTGTTACTGCACCAGTTGTAAATACTGTTGGTGCCTGTCTCCACAAGAAGGGCTACAGAATTCATGAGAAACCCATTAAGTTCAGGACTTAAAATACAGGCTGTGAAGACATACCAAAACTTGAGAGGTCTGACAGAGACTAACTAGAGTGAGCCAAGACCCGAACTCAGAGTCTTAGACCTTTGGAGATGGCTGTTTGGCTTGTGACAGAGATGCCACTGCAGAGTAACAAGGAGAGAATTTTGTTGCAACTATGCAACAAAAGGAAGAAATTGGTGCTGGCTTCTCCCTTATGCTATATACAGCCATAAATTCCAGGTGGATTGTGGATCTGAATATAAAAGTTCAAATATAGAAGCTGCTTGAAGAAAGTACAGTGTTTGCATGCTCCCAGGGGAGGGGAGGCCATAACAACCTAGTAAATGGTTTTTTATGGTCAGGTTTCTCAGGTCTTTCTCACCAAGACAAAGGGGCAGGATCAGTTACTTTGCCAGCTTACAGACAGAGGTCGGAGGGGAAGAAGCTATAATGGGGGGCAAACGTAGCAGACAGCCTTGCTCTGCTTTTCTGTTTGTCCCAATTGCCTGAGGCCCTGTGCTGTCCAACTCCACCTCTCCCACACTACTTATCTCAGACACAGGCTGGCTGTTTCTCCCCTGCTTGCTGCTCTCCCCCTTCCCAAGTATGCAGAGTAAGCCTGGGAGGAAAGCCTTGTGTGGTCTGCTGTATTCCATGACACTGACAAGATGGCAGCCCTCTCCCACAGCAGGAGTGAGATGCTGCTGGTGTACACACTTGTGTCCAGATGGATTTTCTTTCAGAAAAACAAAAAGTTAACTCTGCACCTAATACTGGAAGTCTCTCTGTGTTTCTTCATTGATTAAATTTTCTCAGTATCCTGGGCAGAAAAAGCAATCTTGAAAGAATATTAATCTTAGGTGAATGCAGGTTTATGTCTCATAGCATTTAAAGTCAGGACAGATCTTAGTTACTACATAGAGAATATATGAGATTATTTACACTGGGAATTGTAATGCAGTTTTTTAATTCAAGAATCTCTTAATTCAAGGTCTTTTTAATCCAAGAATCTCCAAAGAATAAAGTTTCCTGTATAATTATAAGTGGCTGGTGACTAGCCTCCTGCAGTTGAGTGCTTCCCACCGCAGTAGAAGATCGTGGTCTGTAAAAATAGAACTTTATAGGCAGTCACCAGGGTGGAGGGAGGAGGCAAGAACCCCATTACCATGTCACTAAAGTTGTCAGGATCTCCACAAACTCAGAAGGGATACAAACTCTCCCATTTGCCTGAGTTTCATTTTAAGATTACATCTGAAGAATTCAGGTATATTTCTTTATAAATGAAAGCTATTTCATAAGACTATGTAGCTTCTTATTTTAAAATAGTTTATGCCTATTGTGAGTTTTTATTTATTAGCTCTGATGTTTAAAGGCTTCACTCAGGTGATCAGGAATATGGTGGATTACATATAGTCCAACCTCCAACTGGGAAAATTGTGAATGAACTTTTCAAAGAGGCAAGGGAACATGGGGCTGTCCCTCTAAACGAAGCCACAAGATCTTCAAGCGAAGACAAAACTAAGGTCAGTGCTGTCTTAAAACTACACTGTTTCTGGGAAGTTAAGGGGTGCCTGGACGTGTGTCTGAACACAGGCCTCCTGACCTTTTTGGTACCCACTGTTGAGATTAGCTGTTCTCGTGAGATTTGAGTTTTAGTCTTTAATGGGCAGCCGCTGGAAAACTTCCTTCTGTTAAGACTTGAGGCTGTTTTAACATCTCTAAGTTTTCCAATTCTGTTAGAAACGTATTGGTTTGATTTAGTATGTAAAACATGGGTTTTAATTAAAAGTGCATTTGTGATGGAAATAGTAATTAAAAGAATAGCCATTTCTCCTCAGATTATCCTACGTATGATCATAGGCAGTTTTTGTAGTTAAGATTAAATTATGACCATAGCCAACTTACTGTAGCTAAGAAAGTGGCTTAAATTGGAGACTATCACAGAAAACAAAGGAGCACAAATGTTGAGATCAATATGTTGTGGCGAGCCCAACTCCAACAAATACATCTGTATCACAGCTCCAGCACCCGTGGCTCAGGGAACATGAGGGAAGAGGGGGCCAAAAGATTGTGAGAGCCAGATGACCAGAATGTCTCCTATGACGAAGTCTCTCCTAGAAATGGCTGCTTCAACAGGACTGGAGCAATGGCAGTTTCAGTGGACACATTTACATGGAAAGGGGATATTCATTGGGTCATACTCCCTAAGAACTACAGGCAACTAATGACTGCTGGGAGAAGGAAATTAACCTCTCTCAGGGATGCACCTTTCATTGGTTGTCCAATACAGTGATTACCCTTTAAACCATATTCATACCACCAACAAAAACATTCAGTATACAGTGTGTGTGTATATGTATTTGCATATATATATATATATATGTATATATATACATATATATATAAAACCAATGTTTGCATTAACGATAATAAAAATGGTTATCAATATGAGAATCGGGGTGTGTGGGAGACGCTGGAGGGGGAAGTGATATAACTTATATTTTAATTAAAACCATTAAAAATTTTTAAAGCCTATTAAATACATATAGAATTATTTGTTGTAACAATTATTTATTTGCATATATGTGCTTATATGTGCACATATCCATAACCCACATGTGGCAGACAGAGGACAACTTGCAAGAGTCAGTTCTCGCCGGGTGGTGGTGGCGCACGCCTTTAATCCCAGCACTTGGGAGGCAGAGGGAGGTGGATTTCTGAGTTTGAGAGTTCGAGGCTAGCCTGGTCTACAGAGTGAGTTCCAGGACAGCCAGGGCTACACAGAGAAACCCTGTCTCGAAAAAACCAAAACAACAACAAAAAAAAGAGTCAGTTCTCTCCTACCATGTGACTTCTGGCAATCAGACTAAGTTATTTCATATTTTGAGTTACTAAAGTTTTTATGAAAAAATATCTCACTTCTCATACTTCTTTAGAATGCAGGGTCTTCATTTCAATATATTTTCCTAGTCAATATGAATCTGGCCAATTTGTCTAGTATATCAAGTGTAAAAATAACATTTTGAGTGTAAGCCATGGAGAACTCTTATCCTATTTATACCCATTTATCGTGTGTTTCAGTCATTTACAGGTGGAGGATACAGATTGGGCAATTCCTTCTACAAGCGATCAGAGTATATCTATGGAGAAAATCAGCTGCAAGATGTAGGTACAGTCACTAAAGTGTTCAATCATTTGCCTCTAGTTGCCACTTTTTCCCTTCTAAATTAACAGTTGACACTATAAATATAGTGTCTCTTTTTCGTTTTTGAAGCCTGGGTTAAAGAACCTGTGTGCTTCCAACTTCGGTGTTTCTATCTGCTATGTCTTACATTTAGAGATGTATAACTGTTTGTGGAAGGAATATATAATTCTTGTAATTTTTCTTTAAAATTATATACCTTTATAATACAGAGTGAATTCAATTTTTAAAAACATATGAAAGCATTATTTCTGTTGACTTGGGAATGTTAAAATAATAATGTTTTGCCCTGCGCCTTGGTCTGCTGTTTAAGCTGTAGAACTAGGGAGAGTTTGAGTGGATGAGGGGGATGAGTCACGGGTGCCAAGCACTCTGTCTTCTCACTGTTTGTGTTTCCTCAGTGACCTCTGAGTGATTGCACAGAAGCCAGGCTCCACCTGGGGGACTTTGATATTTGCAGCTATTATCAGTGTTTTAAGCTAAAAATAAACCTGCTAAGTAAACACATGGACACTTAAATTTAGCTTTGAATAAAACAAATATCTCAGTGTTTTAAGATCAATTAATCAGATAGTAATTTTGGAGATGCCGCTCTCTTTAGGGTTAGGGTTAGGGTT